GCATGTATGAGGTCCTGGGTTCAATCCCCAGCATCTCCAAGAACCTTTTGAGGTTTTGTCCACAGACAAACAGGGTTAAGAAAGCTGTTGATTTTGAGGGTTAAGAAAGCTGTCCTAGGTTCAGTTGCAGCGTCTTCAATTGTCTTGATTCATTCACTAAAATATGTTTGCCTTTTCTGCACAATCAGAATTGACATAAACATTTTGACATTCTGTCCATCACAGTAAAAAGGCGGAATAAAAAGAAAAATATTTATCTTTCAACTGGGGATGTAGCTCTGTGGTAGAGCATAAGCTTCGCATGGATGAGGTCCTGGGTTCAATCCCCAGCATCTTCAGTGTCACCGTTTGTCTTGAATCATTCACTAAAATATGTTTGCCTTTTCTGCACAATCAGAATTGACATAAACATTTTGACGTTCTGTCCACCACAGTAAAAAGGCGGAATAAAAAGAAAAATATCATCCTTTCAACTGGGGATGTGGCTCAGTGGTGGAGCGCATGCTTTGCATGTATGAAGTTCTGGGTTCAATCGCCAAGAGCCTGTTAAGGTTAATCATTTTGAGGTTCCGTCCACAACCGTAAGAAGGGGGAAAAGAAAAAAAAAATGTCTTGTTCTCACAAGGGGATGTAGTTCAGTGGTAGAGTACATGCTTTGCATGTATGAGGTTCTGGGTTCAATCCCCGGCATCTCCAAGAACCTTTTGACGTTTTGTCCACAGACAAACAAGGTTAAGAAAGCTGTTGATTGTCCTAGGTTCAGTTGCAGCGTCTTCAATTGTCTTGAATCATTCACTAAAATATCTTTGCCTTTTCCGCACAATCAGAATTGACTTAATCGTTTTGAGGTTCTGTCCACAACCGTAAGAAGGGGGAAAAGAACAAAAAATGTCTTGTTTTCACAAGGGAATGTAGCTCAGTGGTAGAGCGCATGCTTTGCATGTATGAGGTCCTTGGTTCAATACCCAGCATCTCCATGAGCCTGTTAAGGTTTTGTCCACAGACAATAAACAGAGTTAAGAAAGCTGTGGATGGTCCTAGGTTCAGTTGCAGCGTCTCCAAATGTCTTGAATCATTCACTAAAGTATCTTTGCCTTTTCTGCACAATCAGAATTGACATAATCAGTTTTATGTTCCGTCCACAACACTAGAAAGGAAGAATAAAAAGAAAAATAGTCTGTTTTCAACTGGGGATGTTGCTCAGCGGTAGAGCGCATGCTTCGCATGTATGAATTCCTCGGTTCAATCCCCAGCATCTCCAAGAGCCTTTTGAGCCTTGTCCACAAACAATAACCAGGATTAAGAAAGCTGTGGATGGTCCTAGGTTCAGTTACAGCATCTCAAATTGTATTGAATCATTCACTAAAATATGTTTGCCTTTTCTGCACAATCAGAATTGACATCAGCATTTTGAGGTTCCGTCCACAACCGTAAGAAGGGGGAAAATAAAGAAAAATGTTTTGTTTTCAACTGGGGATGTTGCTCAGTGGTAGAGCGCATGCTTCGCATGTATGAATGCCTCGGTTCAATCCCCAGCATCTCCAAGAGCCTTTCGAGGTTCTGTCCACAGACAATAAACACGGTTAAGAGAGTGGTTTATGGTCCTAGGTTCAGTTGCACCGTCACCCATTGTCTTGAATCAGTCACTAAAATATTTTTGTCTTTTCTGCACAATCAGAATTGACATAATCATTTTGACCTTCCATCCACCACAGTAAACAGGTGGAATGAAAAGAAAAAGTTTCCAATTTCAACTGGGGATGTAGATCAGTGGTAGAGCGTATGCTTCGCATGTATGAGGTCCTTGGTTCAATCTCCAGCATCTCCAAGAGCCTTTTGAGCTTCTGTCCACAGACAATAAACAGGGTTAAGAAAGCTGTGGATGGTCCTAGGTTCAGTTGCAGCGTCACCAATTGTCTTGAATCATTCACTCAAATTTGTTTGCCTTTTCAGCACAATCAGAATTGACATCATCATTTTGACGTTCCGCCCACAACAGTAAAAATGTGGAGAAGAAAGAACCGGGGATGTCGCTCAGTGGTCGAGCGCATGCTTTGCATGTATGAGGTCCTAGGTTCATTCCCCAGCATTTGCAAGAGCTTTTCGAGGTTCTACCCTCAGTCAATAAACAAAGTTATGAAAGCTGTCTATGGTCCTGGGTTCAGTTGCAATGTCAAGAAATGTCTTGAATCTTCCACTAAAATATGTTTTCCTTTCAAGAAATCAGAATTGACATCATTATAATTTTGAGGTTCCACAACAGTAAGAAGGTGGACTAGAATAAAAAGATGTCCTCTTTGACTAGAGATGTAGCTCAGTTAATCATATGCTTCGCATGTATGAGGACCTGGGTTCAATCCCCAGCATCTCCAAGCATGTTTTGAGGTTCTAGCCATTAACAATAAAAAATTGAAAGGAAAGAAACCACTGCTTGTGCTGCGCATTTGGACATTATCTGTGTAATGTCCTTGATTCAGTCCCTAGCAACTCCTAACGTCTTAAATTATTCATTAATAAATGAATGCCTTTCCAGCACAATCAGAAATGGCATCATTTTCATTTTGACGTTCCAGCCATAACCATATGAAGGCGTAATAGAAAGAAAAATATCTCTTTATCAAATGGGAATATAGCTCAGTGGCAGAAGGCATGCTTCACATGAATGAGGTCCTGGGTTCAATCCCAAACATCTCAGAGACTATTTTGGAGTTCTTAAACTAACAATAAAAACAATAAAAAAGAAAGAAAACACTGCTTGTGCATTTGGACATTAGCTGGGTAAGGTCCTAGATTCAGTCCCCAGCATCTTTGGAGGTGGATTATACGTGTTTTTTCTGTGCTCTTCAGTTCTTGTGATTATTCTTTATTTAAAAATATTTTTTATTATTTAATTTTGATCATAATCGCCCTTTACTGCCACAAAGGGTATGGCAAAGCCCAAATAAAAAAAATTAAAAAAGAGACAAACCTGTTGAAGATGTCAGTTAGACAACACCCAGACCGTTACCAACTCTACAGATCGTGTTAATCTTGCTGACATTTTAGAGGCTATTAAATTAATGAATGGCTCTGCTAATCTTTGGAATCTACGCTGTCTCAGACGTTGGCCACGCTGTCTGAAGTTCCTTTACGGAGCTCTAAAGAGCAAGTGCAGATTATGAGAGCCAATTCTCCGAACTTGAGGCTCATTGTCGTAACTGGTTCGAAGCATGCAAATCCCTCACATATAAATTAGATGATCTTGAAGGCCGTTTGCAGCGACAAAACATTAAGATCATCGATCTGCCCAAAAAGGTGGAGGAAGGTCATCTAACTCAATTTTTGGCAGACTTGCTTGTGCAAATTCTTGGCGCCAGTAACTTTTCAAAGCCTCTGAAGATCGACCAAGCCCATCGCACATGTCTGGTTGGTCTACAAACTCGACCACGAACAATGGTATCCTATCACGGATAAAGAGAAGATTCTGCATCTTGGACGGCTGTCTTCACCTATGATAAACAACGATGCGCTAATTCTCATCTTTCCCGATTTCACATCCGACGTCCTGAAGTAAGGAAACTAACAAAAAAGGCCAAAAATCACCACGGTTTGCTTTTCCCAGCTCGCCTTCTCATGACATATAATTAACAGAAACATGTTTTTGAATATGTTGAGAGGGCACAGACCTTCGATGACCCTGTTACAGTGGTGATCAATTCTGTGCCATCTCCATAACTCTCCGTATATTGGTCAAAACTTTTACTTTTAACTGTTTGGTTCTTTAAGCCCGCATGACAAATGTGAGTATAATTTCTTACAATTGTCAGTGCAACCATTTCGCTCGCATTTGCGACTAAAAATAGATGTGTGCGAACTGGAAAATTTATTTAGTCGCACATGTGCGATTTTTTAACTTAATTCACTTGGCCACGGTAAAACAACATGCTCTTCACACTAACTTACCGTACGTTCACACCGAAAGCGGCGAGAGCGTCAAAGTAGCCGGAAGTCATTCATTTTCAATGAGAGCCGGCGGCGATAGGCGGCGATAAGCGGCGAGGAGCAGCGCAGCGCGTCTTCGCCGGCGTGAGCGTCGAGGAGAGTTGAAATGAAGTCAACTTTATGGTAATGAGCTATGACGCGGTTCGGCGGCAAGCAATCAGAATGAAGACGTCCATCGCTTGATAGCAGTTCAGAGAACACAGACCAGTGAACTTTGGTTCCGACAACAGTTGTTCCCAAGGGTTTGATTATTGCGGTCGCCGGATTTCCAATTATTTAAAAAATTTTCCTAAAGGAACATACATTAAATAAGTTACTGGCGAGTTACTGATGTTCATTAATGATATATAAATTTATCTTAAAAAAGCAGGAATCTCACGCGATGTGACAGTACAAAACAGTACTGCTGCTTCAGGATATTTTTAAGACATATGGGCACATATTGGATAAATAGAGCAAAGCCACACCACACGCAACTTGATCTTCCATTGTTGTATGAATTTGATAAGAAGTGCGCAACATTTTCACGCTAGAAACATGTTTTATGCAGGAATGTAACTGATATGCTGCAACGGCTCCTTTAAATATGAGATCAATGTAACGAGTTTTGACGCTCTCGCCGCAGGAGCTGAAGACAGAGAGCGTTGTCGCCAGGGCGGCCAGAGCGACCTTGGACGCTCTCGCCGCTTTCGGTGTGAACGTACGGTTATGGTGTATTACATTGGAAATATATTGTGACTGTAGCACATGCTGACGCTATCAACAACAGCACATCTCTACTAGTTATTTACTTCACGTCAAGCGGTCTTTTGTGTACATTGCTAAGCAATGCAAGACAGCGAATGGCAGTGGAGCGGCCAACCTCAATTCAGCCATGGATGGCATATCGTGGCACATCTAGTGTGAGACCCAATTCAACATCAGCGCTTCTTACACAGACTTTGATGGGGACATCATTGTGTCTTTATGAATTTCTGATGAATGTATTACTCTCATATATATGCTTATTTGAGTGATTTCAGTGTTATTATTATTATTATTATTATTATTATTATTATTATTATTATTATTATCTACTGCAGGGGTGGCCACCCCTGATCTATTGTATTATTACCCATACCTGTGGCATTAGTGTCATTTATGTGTCCTTTTGTAAATAAAAAAGTCACCCTGTACAAATGCAGTCAGAGATGAGAAGGGAAATTAGAAGAGCACCATAAAATGTCACAATGAGAGTAGATTTATGGAAGCAAGGCCATAAAGGCACCTGCGTTCTGTTCTGTAACTCATGGTAAGGCACACCTGCACGTGCACCCACACTCATTTGTAATGACTGACAAAAAATATGAGTACCCGTGAACTTCAGCTGAACTTACAGTTGACAGCTCAGTGGACAGTGAACAAGATATATTGTTGACCATTGTTTTTTGGCTGTTTCATCACATCTGAAACAGGAAGGAAAGACCTTACCTGGACATGGGTAAGACCCCTGAAAGACCCTGAGATTCTATTGGTGGTGGACACCTGAGAGATTTGAGATCCTATTAGTGGAGAAGCTAAGGGAGGTGTGCCATTGTGTAAATTTGGGTGGAGTGTTATAACAAAGAAGTGTATTTAAACTGTGTGCTGGCCTATACTCATTAGACACTAGAACGACCTGTCTCTCTTGTTATCTCTGATGCTTTAACAATAAACTGCTTTGCCTAAAGACTTCAGACTTCTCAGACTTTGTCATTTTTTTGAGAACTTTGACTTAGAGATTTAGAATATTTTGCAGACCAGAAATTGTTTTTCCACAACATATTTGGCGCCCAACATGGGGCTGGACCAAGGACATGAAAAGTGGTACCGGTAGCAGTTCACTCAGAGACCAAAAAGGGCCCTAATAACTAAGGTGAACATATTTGCTTTAATAATATTTTTGATTTCTTTGAGAGTCGATGCTGTGGGTGGACCGAGTACCTGAATTTGTTGTTTATATGTACCTGACCAGTAAAAAGAACTTCGAAAACTAAATAAAGGAAATTGAAAATAATCTGATTAATCAACAAATTTGTAACAAATGATAAGTGATTCAAGTTTAATGTTTTAAAACGACTAAAGGTATAAAAAATAAAAAAAATTCTTTAGAAAATTTGCATGCTCTAACGAGTAAATGTATATGTGTGAATGCATGCATGGCTGTAAATAATATGCGTTTGAGTAAAGAAATAGCATGCGATGAGACGTGATGCCATGTGAGGAGGAGTGAGGAATGCGCGCGAGGCTACACAAGTTAGGATTGCTTTTGGAAAGTGCTTTAAGAGGGCAGTGGAAGAGCTTTGCTTCATGCTCAACTGAGATCTAACAATAGATTCTCACAGAAGAGCTTTGTGTGAGGCTCAGCCGAGATCTGAAAAAACTAGATTCTTGCAGGCAGAGTTATGTACTAGAGAAGCGACCACTGACCAAACCCCTTAAACCCCTGAGGAAAAAAGGGCTGGATCACCGCGAGTCGGCCTGTTGTTGATTTGTGTTGACTTATAATCTCTGTGAGATTTTGGATGGTGCAACGGATGTAGATTTATGTGTTATTTGTAAAGGCCCGGGCCAGGGATTATGGGGAAATGAAATAAAATAAAATAAATGGAAGGAAATAGGACCAAACCAAAGTGAGTACATAGAACGAAAAATCCACCAAAATATTGGATGTGCAGATTAATAGGACATTCTGAGAATTGTATAATTTGCGGTAGAAGTAAAGAAACTAAACCATCAATACCAGAAAAGGAAGAGATAACCATTAAGTAGTAAATATTAGGGGTGTAACGATACACCAAAGGCATGGTTCAATTTTGTTCACGGTTTTGGAGCCATAGTTCGGTTCGGTTTCTGTTTGTTGTGCAGTTAGGGTTGATGTCATCTTAACAGCAATGCTAAGAAACAATAGATTCACTTAATAACAAGAACATCTAGACTTTTTCTATATTAACTTTCCAGTCACATTTTAGTACAGTCAGGATACCCGAGTAATCAACAAAAGTTAAATAAATACCTCCAATATAGACTAGTCAGAAAAAAACAATTCTCTTTAGAGCAGCCATCTTAACTAAGTAAACTAAAATAAAAAATAAAAAAAACTGCAGGCTAGACTAGTGAAACATAAATGGGCTTGTTCTCTCTAAGGACATTTGGAATATTCAATTAAGTTTTTAGTTCTTCTTCAAAAACACCATAATGTCCACATTTTCAGGTGAGAAGCTTGATCTCTGTGCAGACAGACATTGTGATGCTCATTTTTGATTTTCTAAGTTTTCATTTAGATAGATAGGTTTCTGTCTAAATTGATGAAAAATATATACATATAATGTGTTTGTAGAGTGTTTTTTACATTACATATTCACCAGTAAAATACATTGCAGTTTTATCTAAAACTAATGTTACGATTGTAGCCGTATATAGGTTGTATTTTGCATCCCGTTAGTGATGCATGGATGGCAGTTATATCCGCGAGCACTGCGTATAAACCGAGGGTCGGGTAATAAAAAAATACATTATAATAATTAATTGCGGGTCAGTTGCAGGTGTATGTAGCGGGACATGGCAGTGGATCAGCGAAAAAGCAAAGAGTGAGCTTTGCAGAATGTGATATGATATGAAGATATGAGGCGCCCAATAAGGGTGGATATAGTCAGTGCAAGAGTAGCCTATACTGTACAAAGTTTCAGTTAAAGGAGTCATCAGGGGAAAATCTTCTCTCGTTCTGGGAGAAATAAGATCGCTTATTTCCACAACTGCAGCCCTTTGAGCGGAGAATCTTGTTCATTCCTACAACACGTGGTGTGAGCGAATGCAGCTGGAGGCGAGGCGGATAGGGATATTCCGATCCGATATTGATATCGGAAATAGGTCCGATATGAGTGCAAAAAACTATATCAGACTGATATTCTGATATAGATTCGCTCTAAACTCCGTTACAGCTATTCTATCCAGCAGCATCCAGAGCCAGTGTGCAAAGCCCACGTGATCACAACACTGCTTGCTAGCAAAGTCTCTAAGATTTAACATGGTCTTCACACTAAGTTATGGTGATAGAAATCTATTGTGATGGTAGCAGACGCTAAGGCAATGAACACCAGTGCTTTCCACACAGAAGACTTTACCTCAGCGGCCCGGTTCTGTGTGCGTGAGAATACTCCGTCACAGAACTCGCGTCCTCTGGTGATGCAGAGACGTGCTGGACACCTCTAATGAATTTAGCTTTGAGAAAAGTACGAGGACACGCGGAGAAGAAAAGCCTTTTACTAAATAGACTGATCCAGCTAATTTTTTAGGGTGACAATACATCCTCTTTTTCTCGGACATGTCCTCTATTTGGGACTTTAAAAAGGCATTAAGCCAGGATTTCTAAATCGCCTAACATGTCCTGGATTCTGCTTTTGTTTTCTTTAGCGGAGTTTATGCATTGCTTTATACGCAAACTTAGGCCAGTGTATCTCAATCTCTCAGCAGCACCAAAACGAGAGAAAGAGAGAGAGGGAGAGAGGGAGGGAGCAGATTTGACCTGTCAGTGGTGCACATGGATAGTAGGAGTGAAATAGTGGATTTCTTATTTTTTTAGTTCATTTTTTTACTTGAACACACTGAAAAGAAACACTGTCATGTAAAAGGTGGTAAATGCTAAACATCTTTGTTGTTTTAGTTGTCTGTTAAATAAGAATAAGAAATCATTCTGTTGCTGAGGGCCATTACAGTTTAAAAGAAAGAATGGTATTACTAATAAGAGGCATTGCCATATTTAATACATATTTAAAAAGTCCAGAAAGATAAAGTGCTCTGATAAACAGTGTCAGCTTTGCACATGAGTTTGCAGTTTTGTCTTAATATACATTGTACTTTTCCCATGTGGGTAGTAGGGTGGAATCTGTGCAATACATTATGCAAATAAAATGAATTTTAATAAATAAAATTATTCTTAAAAGTAACATTTTATGTGCTGTGGAGAAAATGTG